TGTTCTCAATATATCTAAGCAACCAAGGCATCCTGAAAGTAGGCTTCTGAATTTGGTAGTGAGTGTGCAATGTTGATAATGCTTCTAGTCACTAAATATTGCAAAACACCTCAATATGTAGTTGATTTCTTGAGACTTGAAGGAGAATAATATCTAACTGTTCTTCACAATGATCTTCTCTGTCATGGTGGTGGGGAAAACAGCATAGGAAATTCTGAAAGTATTTAGCTGGATAGCCAGGTAGCAAAAGTAAAATGTTTTGATTTGGAAGTGGAATAGAAGTCCACTGTCTTTTCAATGCACACGGAATGAAACAAGTGTTCTGAGGCCTAGACTAGAATAATCAGAAGTTCATTATACCAGTTCTGAGAGAATGAAGTGGGTGGACAAATAAGAGTAGTTTAAGCATAGCATTATGATATTGAAAATATAATTAAAACCTCCAAAGGGAGTGAAGATATGTTTTCATAATAAGCAGGCAAAATTGTTCACTTGTGAGCATAAACTTAGTGAGATTTATATCAAACTCATTGAAGTGAGATGCCACCCTACAGTTAATCTGTCTTTAGAGGAGGAGTAGGGAACGTGGGTTTTCTGAGTTGTGGACAGCTTCAGAGCAAATGATCCTGAGTGGTTAAGGTCAAGCATCCTGAGAAAGACAGCATTGGGTGAGCTCCTGCATAACTCCAGGAAAAGGCTTTTTCCTTCCCAGAGCAGTGTGGTACTTGGGAAAGGGTGTCTTTGTGGTTAAGAAAACTTACATAACACGTGAATGTTTTGGGGGAGTAGTATCTAGGAAAAGAAGTTATATCATTCTGTATTTGGCACTGGTACAATCGCTTTTCCATTCCTGAGCAATTTTTTAGTGTCCATAAGCCTGTTGAGATAAAATGGTAAGGGATTGATCAAAGGACTGGATACTTTGCCTTGCGGTGAGACATTCTGGAATCTTGCTCTGTTTATCTTACCCATGAGAAGGCTAAGACTTGACCTGATCAGAGTGTCTGTATTGGGGAAAAAACATTGAAAAACTGTTAACAATCTGGCAAGCAAAGATATAAAAAGGTCTAGTGGTTGCTATTTGAAGTTCAGAATTCCACTGTAGATTTTCAACAGTGAGAGTGATTAGCCCTTATGATATCTTAACAAAGGTTGTAGTGGTTTCCTTACCACTGACAATTTAAAAATCAAGATTGAATGGTTTCTTAAATGATATGTTTTAGTAAAGCACAAGTATTGTGGCTTCTTTGTATGGGGCATTGGGCTAATTTTTCATAAAAATCCTCTTTGTCCTTGAACCTCTTAATTCTCTTAGAGACAATGACTAGAGTCGTGGTAGTCAAATCCACCCCCACCCCCCTTTTTTTCGTTGTTATTGAAGTTTTCTGTCCAAAACTTACTTTTGCTTTTACACAGCTGTAATGAAAAATAGGTATTTTTCTTGGCCAGCCTCTGTTCGTAGCTCATAAGATGTTTTTTAACTATAATGACCTTACAGTCTTACAGTGTTAGTACACTGGTACCCTGTGTAATGCTGGTGTATCTGTATTCTTCCATTCTCTGCTACCCTGAAGACACATGCCAGGCATGAGTGTATTCAGCTGGTTTTATTGAGCTATGTGTATGATATCTTTATAGCATTAATTGAACTCAGGAATATGAAATCTACTCTTTCTGAAATAAGTGGAGCTTGTATGGTCTTTTTTGTTGCTTCCCTCCTCTGAGTCCCATCTGCACACCTCATGTTTATAGTGGTAAGTGTCTTGAAGACATTTCTGCTAGATCTGAATTAAATTCCATCTACCAGCATTTACGTGGCTGCAATCCCAGTTAGGACAAGAGTGCTATTAATCTGGCCATTGTGCTAGTAAGCCAAATTTCTGACTTCAGAGAGTCCAAAAGATGGAAGACTGTGAAATAGTGACACAATCACCATGCAGCAAGTGATGCTATTCTGATAACCCTTCTGGTGAAAGCTTGGTTTCATGTCTCTTGAGGCTGATTTCCAGTGTTGCTAAAAGGTGCAATTCCATCCTTTGCCTCCCCACATCTTCTTGCCTTCCCATTGTGTTGGGGCTGTGTTCCTCTGTCAGTCAGCACAGGCAGCTGAAACACTTGCTGAGAAAATACCTTTTTTTTTGTGATGGCTTTTTCCATCTGGGTCAAGTGAGCTTCTCTGAGTCACTGCATGGCTGCACAAGCACCAGTACTACCACAAGGGAGTCAAGCCCCTCAAACACTGGGACAAGGAAAATCATTCTTTTTGGAAAATCACCTTCTCAAATTGGCTAAAGACAGTTGTGAAATCACGCGGCTCTGGAGTGTAGTCGTGGAAGCAGAAAGCAGAAGGCATAGGAAATGCATTGTCTGTAGAAAGGTGTGTGTGTTGGTGCGTGTGTTCACACCCGTGTACAGGCTTCTGTGGCTGTACAAAACGTTTCTGCTGCTGCAAGGACCATACAATTTTAACATAATGAGTATGTTGGCCTGTCCCTGTGTAGAAATGATGTTTAGGTAATGGCTTTTTCTACTTTTTGTTTCTCTGCCAGGCACTTCTCTTTCTCCAGTTGGTTTTGGATTTGTTTGTCTATTTCAGCCTGTTTTTTACAGAATTGTAAAAAAACCCCAGGTTCTTGTGGTAAGCCAAAACACTACATTCAAAAGAGGTTTGTGACACCTAACAAGTGGGTATAGAAGAAAGACACAAATTAGTAGCAGTTGTTGTGGTATGGGCTGCAGGATGGATCACAGAAAATCAAATGCTGTTAGTTCTCTTGCTTACAGAACAACTTGTATTCTTGTGGGGAACAGGCTAGACTCATTTTGTACTGTTGATTCTCTTGTGACTTGAAATAGTCATAACAATTCACTTAAAACCACTTCAGCAAAATGGCTTAAATACATTTGATCCAGACAAGAGTTAAAGTAATTAGCTGACATTTGATTTTACTTGATATGGATCCAAACCATGAAACTTTGAACACCCCTAGAGTTCAGAACTGTTTCATTCAGTGTTTGGGTACTAGTCTGTGTTCTCAAGTAACCTTTTCAAACTTGGCAAATTTAATCCCAGATTTAAAATAAAAAAGCAAAATAGGGGATTGAGTCTGTAAAGGCTTTTTCTTTAAATATAGAGATACTCTAGAGTATAGTTGTAGAAGCAGAAGGAATAGGAAATGCATTTTCTGTATAAAGGTGTGTTTGTGTTCATGTGCGGTGTTCACAGTCACGTACAGACTTTTGTGGCTGTACAAAACATTACTCCTGCTGTAAGGACCTTACAATCTTACTAGACGGCCAAGGCAATCATGTGCTGTGAGACCCAAAGGACGGTGCTAACTTAGAGCGCGTGTGCGTTTTCAGTTTTATGATGTGATGACTGCAACGCTCTGACACTGGTTAACATTTGTGGGCCTTGTGGAAGGAGTGAGTTTCCATGAGGGATTTGGCTGGACGAAACTTGCCTGCCTGGCACACAGAATTGAGGAGAATGTTCCAGGCAGGGTTGAAAGAGGGATGAGCAGCATGATGTTTTACATTGCATGTGATGCAGCTGGTAACTTGGAATGTGATTGACCATGTTTTGTAAGCTTGTTAATTTTTCTTGCAGTCTAATACATAAGGGAAACAAAAAAAAAAAAGAGGTTATGAAGAAATTCTAAAGGAAGTGTATGGATGTTTCTGGTGAACAGAGGCATTCACTTCCTTCTTCCAAAAGCAATTATATGAGAAATGAAAATGCTGCATGTGATAAGAATACGTTGTAATTTTTGTTAAGAAATCGAGATGTCAAGGGAAGACTTTGGGGCATGGGAAATTTTGGAGAATTCAATTATAGCCTGAGTATATAGGGTTAAAGAGAGAAAGTTAAGTTGGTATATTCAAGATGGCATGCCTATGTGACACCAAAAACAGTGCTACTCTTATTGATTTGCTAAAGTATATTTTCAGTGTCCAAGTAATTTAGTTGTAGAGCATATAATATTTTCCCTACTTGGGACAAGTTAAAATGACAGAAATTATTAATTATTCAGAAATTACCAGAAATAATTCAGATTGGTACCTAAGCAACACAGTGAGAAGTTTTCAGATTCTTTCATAAAGTTTCATCTCTGTGTTGCAGCATACAAATAATAATATCTCCCTTTACCACTGTATAATTCTTCAGTAACTTTCTTTCCCCCCGTTCCCCCTTAATGTTGTAAAGAAATAAAAGAAAAATCCATGAATCTCACAGTGTTGCTCTAAGGGAAGAAATATAGGTATAGGAACTACAAATAATTTGTAAGGCTGATAATGGAGGGGAGTATAGATGTCCCATGGTTGGGGAACCTACATGCAAGTTAAAATTTTGGGATAAATATGCGCAACTTACAAAATTACTATATTATTGAATTATTTCATAAATTTTGTGTTGATCTTAAGTTGTGAAAGTTGTGCAATCCATCTCCTAAACAGAGGATAACAGAGGATATTGGAGGATTATTTTAAGCTGTTTGCTTCTTTTCATGTGAGGACAGAGCTATGGCTGAAGCCCGAAGTCAGCATAGTTAAACTGATGTGCAGAACAAAGGGTCAACAAAGGCATCTTAACAGAAATAGAAAAATGAGGTACTTGTGGGGAGTAACATGTAGGCAGTCACAGGTAAAAGAAAATGGGACAGTAGAGTCAAACTGAGGCACAGTTTGTAGCCAGGAAGTCTGAATTTTAGTGGAGGTCAATGATGGAAGGTGGATGTGAGACCTTCATGGCCACTACAAATGTATCTGCTCCAGGGCCTTGTTCCTGCTCCCCAAGCCACACTTATTGAGAACAGTAACCTCTAGCCATGTCCATGCTGTTCAGCAATTGGCCTGGCCCTAGGTCATAATTGCACACATGCTGTATGAGATCCTGACTTCAGCTGGGTCAAACTCCAAAATACATGCTGAGTGGTGAATAATTTCAGACATCTTGCATCTTTACTTTTGCTTTGTTCCCTTTAATTCTTTTGTTATAGTACAGGATTCTCTGAGGAACCTTGAACAAGCTGGAGGTACAGATTTACTGAGAGTGAGATGCAAGGAGGCTCAAAGGGGATTCATAAGTCTACAGGATTGCCGACCATGTGTTAAGCAACGATTGCTTTGGAGTACATGGCCACTTATTATTTGATGTAGTTACAGGTAGGCAATGCCTGCTGACAGGGAGATGAGGGGCGCATCTAGGCCTAGCTCATCGTGTTTGTTTCTTTTCTTGTCTTCAAAGATGTGGATTGTGAATTAAAGTAGTTGCAAGATGAATTGTAGAAGAAGTTGTATCTGAGGTCTTGTGGGCAACAGGAGATGGGAACTGATTTAGGAGCATAAGGCAGTTGGTCTGTTAGGTTTACATTACAAAAGGGTTAAGAGAGCCAAAGGATCTACAGATAGCGTAGAGGGTAAGGGTGCTATTCCAATCAAGACGATCTCACCAGGTGAGCCTGGTGGCAGAGAACTCCAGCTCTCGGGAAGTGTACCACTGGCTGAGCTGTTTCACAGCAATTAGCTTGGGCTGCTAATCCTGCCTGCCACCCACTAGGATTATTTTGTACAAGATGGGAGTTGAACACTGTTGCACTGAACTTGATGAGGCATATGTGGGGGTTGTGAGCAGAGAGGGAGTGGGAATGTGGCACGCAGATGTGTGAAGGTGAGAGTAAAGCTTATCAGCTACTGGTTCCAGAGGATGGTGGGCTTTGCCTTTTTTCTTTTCCTAGCTCTGCTGGTCAGGTCATTCATTGAACAACCTCAATTATCCATCCATAAAAATAAAATACCAGAGTACTATGATAGAGTATAAATTTTTTAAATTTTTAAAAATATAACAAATAAAAATAGTCCTTGCCCATTTAGCCAGGTGCTCTTGGGGTGGCCTCTATTCAAAAGCTCTTGAGACCCCAAAGACACATTTCTTCTGTTGGATAATATTTTTCTTTTGTTTTTAGTAAACTAGGTTTGAACTGGCAAATTCCTGTGAAGTCTTGTAGCCAATTTAATATTTAAAACAGATAAGTTATGCTAGCGTCAGTAATGTCTTGAGCCATCTTCCACCTGCTAACCTGCTGTACTGACTCAGCACCTGAAGAGTTGACACATCATGGGAACAAGGGAGTGTTCTGTGACTGAGGAAAAGCAGAACAGTAAATGCCCATCAGGGCAAGGAGTGATGCAGCTAAGGCTTGTGCTGCAGTTACCAGTCAAGTAATTTAAAAGAAATAAAAATAATAAATAGTAGTAATAATAATAAAACCAGCAACAACAAAACAAAAAAACCCAACCAAACCTGAGAATACAATTGAAGGCCTAGCAGCTAGTGACCTGAAATGGAAATTTGCACTAAATATTCTCCTTCTGCACATGGTTTTCAGCCCATTTTGGGTAGCAACTTGTAGAAAAAAGACTCTTAGAAGTTAAAACTGTTACTTTTTTTTTTTTTTTTTTAAATATTTTTCGTGACATTTTTAATAGAGCAGGAGAAGACTGCAGGATGACAGCTGTTCTAGGTCCCTAAGAGCTCTAGGACAGCATGCCTTGCTGGTGCTGTACCTGTTGTGCAGAGGTTCTCTGGTCTTAATACTGCTCTCTTCTGAAGTCAGAAATTGCATTTATCTGGTTGCTTGATTTCTATGGATGTATAATTTCAGGTGCATATATAAGTATGCTGATGTTCATATATTTTGTTGCTATCATGTGCTTATGTTCCCGGCTTCAGACACTTGGGTTTTACATATATTATACTGGTGAACTTTGTATAGCTTGGCCTTTGCTTGTCTATCTCTTTATTTTATATCTTTCATTTGAACGTGTATAAATTCATTAAATTGCTCTACATGCAACTAAAAATATAGAGATTGCATTTCTTTTTATTCACTTGCCAGTGCAGTTGTGTGAGAGTGAGTGCACTTTCAGAACCTTCCTTTCAAAACTACCTGTAATTGTGCAGTACATAAATAACGCTTTAGAGGGAAGAGGACCTCCAGCCAAAATAATTCCCAAATGATCTTAAGTGTAATTTATCTTCTTATTTTGCAGCTAGCTATGGACCAAATCCAATTTGCAAAGGCTGTTTATCGTGTTCAAAGGATAATGGGTGCATAAGATGCCAACACAAGTTATTCTTCTTCCTCCGAAGAGAAGGAATGAGACAATACGGTGAATGTTTGCATTCCTGCCCATCGGGGTACTACGGACTCCGAACACCAGACATGAACAGATGCTCAAGTGAGTTTTTTTTTGAACCTTTACATTCACTTTTGTAGGAAGGCCATAATTCAAGCTCAGTTTTTAAGATGGTATGTTATGAACCAGTGATATTTTCACAGATGTCACAAGATTATAATAAAATTTCTTTGCTAAAGAATGTCTAGGTCTTTCCAAGATATGTAATGTTCAGCAGATTAAATAGTTGATGCATTAATGTAGCTTTTATTGTTGTTGTTATTTTTATTGTTATCATTGCTTTAGTAAGGAGGGAAATGTAGGAAAGAATGATGATTTAAGCAGATATTCTCAGTTTTAACCAAAAAATTCCCACTGTGAAAATAAAAAGGATTAAGCATTAATTAATTAATTAAGTGCCTCATGTAGGTACTAGTAAGCATGTGCACAAACATATGGGTGGGCTTCTTGTCATGCTTTTTGTTCCCACACAAATTTCAGGTGAGCAGACACCTCACACCAGACAGGCTTTAATATGGAAGTGTGGCTGTTTTAATAAAACAGATGGACTATTAAAAACAAAGAAACAACCTTTGACTTTTAGTACTGCATTTTATTTGGAAATTTACAGCCTGCTAATGTGCAACAAGATTCCCTGTTTGTATGTTTTTGCCTAGAAGCACAACAGTTAAAATCAATGAGTGCTCTGGTATCTCTACACATTATTTCACTGCTGGCTGACAGTTGTGCTGATTCCTATCGATTTTTCCATATGCTCATATGTGGACTATTCCCCCTATGGTTTATTAATCATTGCTATTACCTCTAGTTTGTATTTACTGAGGGCGGTGTGTGTCGTAGTGTAACCAGAATTAGGTTACTGAACCTAAGAACCTGAAGTGAGAAATTTTCTTTGCTTCCTGGAATAATCAAGTGTCTTAAATATACAGCACTCTCCCCCTCAGTGCTGTGGCTTGTCACTGGGATGCATCACGTTGTGAGAAGGCAGGTGTTGCGTTGGCTTTGACATGACACATAATCCTGAAACCCGAGTGAGGTTGCTCTGTGGCAGCCTGGGCTGGATGAGGAGCAGTCATGGCCATGCTTGAATGTGCCCCAGCCCATGCAATAACATCCCACCTCTTTCTCCCCACTCCCTGCACAGGCTCCACGGGTATGATATTCCTCATGTTGTGTTCTAAACTGCTGTGCAATATTGCTGAGTGCTTCTTAATCTATACCAGGTGGCTAGCTTTTGATAAAATATTAAATGAGATCATTATTTGGTTTATATATCCCTTCTGTAAAGTAATTTTGGATCTTGGCCTTAATTTTCATGATGGGATTATGAATTCAGCAACTTGTCCACTTTAAACCTGTTAAAACTAGGCTGTAAAAACTTGCCCATGAAATTTTTTTTTTTTTTAAAATAGTTACAGCTTTGGGAAATAGATTAATTTATCTATATCTATCTATATTAGCCTGTACTATGCTAGTGAGGTAGGAAAAGTAAAGGCAGTCTTTCTTTACTTTCTTAAAAAGAAAAACAAGTTGCAGAAGGTGGATGGTGAATTTAACAGAATTTTTTTTTTTTTATTTTTGCCACTGAAATGCTGGGGTTTGAACCCCGAGTCCCCGAATTAAGGTTGACATATGGGTGATTCCCACAGCCCTTCATAAAGAGGTGGTGAGTTTGCCTTATGGCTTCCCCCCAGGGTGCAGCCGGCCCTGCAGGGAGAGCCAGAAGGGAAATGAGCCCCAGGGGTCCCGCAGTGAGTTGACAAAGGTCAGGTGTCTGCTTGGGGATAAAAGCTGGGACCACTTGCAGGGAGTCAGGAGTGTCTGTCTGTGGAGTGCACTCCCCAGAGCTTCCTGGTTCAGGGCAGACCTCCTGACTCTCCCTGGAGCTGGGCCCCAGTCTGTTTAGACCTTTGCGAACGCGGGCTGGTCGGGTGAGAGTCACTATGTGGGCACCTTTCTCTTATGTGTTCAGCTTGCTGGTCTGGCTGTTTCCCATGCCAGCTGTGGGCAACCTCGGGTCTCTGTTTGTACCACCTGTTGTGGGCCGAGTTACGTCCTTTGTGGGATCATTGGGGGTGGTGTCAATTATGTACCATCTGATTGATCTGTTTGTACCCCCAGTGGTCATTCATGGAATGTCCTCCTTGTCTACGATACAGTCTGTGTATTGGTTCATCTTCCTGCTGGTGGTGGTATCATTTTTGTTAGGCCTGGTCATTGGCAAAACAGCCACTTAGAGAAAGTGGCCTTTTCCCCCTGAATTACAGGATTGGTTTTGAAAAGCATAAATGTGAGTGGTGTCCAACCTATATTGGCATGTGTTGAGTGCTGAATATTTAACTCACCCTCATGTCTTTGACAGTCTCCCTCTGTGAGAATAATGATGCAGCTGCATTTACCAACCAGTCCTGGTTCATCTCCAATGATTTTTGTATTGTATATTTTTATTTTAGTGTAACTGCCAATTGGTGTATTTCTAAATCAAATCTTCATTTTTTTTCCTGGATTGGTCATCTTGCATGGCACATGCATTGTGGTCATACAAATATTCTGTGGATTGTAGCTGAGTTAAAATAAACATTCTTAAAAAACAGGTTTCTTCCTACGTGATGTGAGATACTTTTAGGTACGCTTAGTTATGGGCTCCATTGCTCAGATAGTATTATCTCAGCTAAAAATAATAAAAATTCTGGCTATGTTAAAATCCTTTGGGGAGCTACGAGGCTTGAATTGCATAACTTGAAATTATTTCTGCCCTATTAATGTCTTTATAGGCACAAACGCTGTTTAACATTTTATTACTGGAACACTTGCCCATTTTTGTTAGAGAAGCTATTGAACATTTTTTATGGAAAATGTTGACATTATTTTAAAAGCCAAACATAGTTAGTGCCAAATATAACACAATAAAGGCCACAGCCAAGTGCAGCAGCTCTAAAATGATGGAAATTCTGAATTTCAAGACTAATTTTCTTTTCTGCATGTAAGAAAGTAGTATGTGTGTCTTGAATTTGCTAAGTGGTTCTAGACTGTTTTTCTAGTAACAGTGAATCATGTAATGATGAGACTTCTTGTCTCTAGAAATCAATGTGGAGTTTCCTGCTGGAGATGATTTTCATCTTGAACACTGCAGTATGAGAATGCAGTATATTTGGATGCAAAATTATCTCCTCTGTAGGAGAATACACAAAAGAGCTACATTTTGTTAATTTAAATAAAAATAAAAAACTAATGACTTTAGACTGAACTACTCGAACAAGAACTAATCTAATAAAAAAATACAAAACTGAATTAAAGAGTAAGATGAAATCTGTCGCTTGGGCGGTGGGTTTAACATTAGTCTGATTAATAGGTCAAGCCTATCTTGAACCTTTTAACTTAGTCTGTACCTATAGTAACCTCCAAAATTTTATGTGCAGGAAGCACTCAGAGTTTAGAAATTACAGCCCCCTTCAGCTTTGGTTGGCTATTCCATTTGTTTAGGTTCACCTTCTTTCTTAAAGGAGGGCACAGCATTGCTAAAATTGTGATTTCCCTTTCCATGTACCTTTAGTTAAAACAAAGAGAAGCTTTTAAACTAATTAGGCATTTATTAAACACACATAATTAAGATTAATTAATAATCATTTTATTAAGAAAGATAATTTTTTTTTCTTTTAACTTTTTTAGAGAATAGCAAGACATCATTAATATGTCATGGCTTGACTATTTCTTATGTAGTATAGCAGAGCATATGACCTTCTAAGACTACTGCAGTCACTGCAATTGTAACAGTCAGGGAGTTCAATTACCACAGGGACAGCACTGTTTGTTTTCCATAAAATTATTTTTCTGGATTTTTAGAAATAGTTTTCATTATTTTTGTGTTTATGTGCTTCAAATATGGCTTTATATTCTAAAAACAAGCTTAATACAGCTTTTGGGCTTTTGAAAGTGAACTTGAATAGCCTGAAATTAAGGTGGTCTACCTATCATTATTTTACAGGGTTTTTTTTTTTTTCTTCCACTCTTTTCCTCCTTCAAATTTTTTTTGCTTGGAATTTTTTTTTATTTCTGGCCTTTTTTTTTTATTTTGATGGAAGAGTTTTATTCCATCCATCTGGCAGCAAAAACCATCATAGTGCTTTGACTTAACATTTATTAAATCTGTGGTAAATTTAGATTTAGAGGGCAATTGTAAGAACATACTGAAAATGTATTGGTAAGTGTTTAAGTGAATTTATTTTAAAAAATACACTCACTATAGTATTTAATAATCAGAATGTTGTATTCCAGGCCTTGCACTCCATGAAATGGTAGATCTGTGGTAAACATCAGGACCTATTATCAGTCAAGTGACCATGTGTATCATTCTCTGTGTTGATCATTCTCTATGATCCCATCATGTTCAGCTTCTGCCAAAGTTGTACCTTAAAAATCTTTATTTGTATAATAATAATAATAATACTAAAAATAAAAAACCTGCAACTACCTAAGCCACATGTGCTTAGGAGGTTAAACTAGCTAGCTGTAAAAGCTAAAGCAAGCTTTATCTCTTTTGCTTGTCATTTTCCTCTTCTCCTTACTGTCTCCTCAGTGACTTTCCTGAAAACTTGTCTCCTCTCTCCATTGGTTGTTCAGCTGATACTTCAATCACTCTAAGAACTGCTTACATCATAGCTTTCTTTAGCATCTTGCCTCTGTCTCCTGCTCTTGTTAGCACAAGCACAGCTTTTGTTCCTCATGTGCCCTTGTGTCCTCAGGGTGAGTTATAAAATACATAGTCTGTCTGGATTTCTAAAGTCTCTCCCAGCTCAGGAAATTCTGGCAAAAAGTAGCAAAGGTGATGCTGGCCAATGGTAGATTGGTGTGGAGTGCTAACAGACATGCTGGGATGGCAGTGTGAGGTTAAGTCTGTAGCCCCAGTGCTGTCTTACTAAGCAGCAGAAGGATGGAAGCAAGAGTTGGAAGGAGTGAGTATGATGGGCATGGGAACAGTCTGGTGATAGGTGGAGTTAGGAGGCTCCGGGGTAGAAAATACAGAGGCATTTGAGGCAAGAAGA